AGTCTTTTGCTCTCGTCTCTGTAAGGCGGAACGTACGACACTACTTTACCAATGTAAACATTGCGGCTCTTGGTTTCCATGACAAACCGCAAGTAAGCCGCAATTTTGTTATACTCGACGTAAAAATTGTCATTAAGAAATAGAAGAAGATCTGCCATCGGGCAATACTTGACCGCCCAGTTATAGGACATCACGATTTTTAGAGTGTCGTTCAGCTGGTCATCAAATGTTTCCTGCAAGATGTCGTTATACAATCTGCTCTCTTGTTCTATCCGCCATTTTGGTCCAGTCACTCTGCCAAGTGTGAACACACGTTTAACAGTTGGAACTGCCACTTGTCTCCATATGGCCCGCACAGCTATTCTCTGTTCTATGTTCATAGCTGGGGACTTGATGAACACGAGAATATTTTTGGTATTTCCATTGGGGAACTTACAATCGGGCGGTCGATTTAGATATTCATATATGTGTAAGTTTATCGGAATGTATGGTATCGGCTTGCCGTACATACTTTTCTGATTTATTGCTTCAGAAATATTAACATTCAAAGGGTAGGAAAATTTTTCTTTTTGAGTTGATTGCTGTAAAGGTTGATTGGAAACAGAATCGTTTGGTTCATTTTTCACGGTTTCATCCTCTTCCCCTTCCTTGGCGTTCGCAATCTCCTCCGTGTGGACGACTTCCTCGCGAGGGTGAACCTTGACAAGCTCGTACCTAGAAGACACTAGAGACACTTCTATGAGGATCATTACTCCCCCTAATAGAAGTAGCAGTGATACAAGGCAGGTCAGCCTCCGTCGTCCACATTGTACATATCTATTTCTAAACCAGCTGTAGATGTTAAAAGGGATAACCATTTTCCTAGGTCTTCTGTGTCACTAGTTCCTTACACGATCTTTCACTTTTTCTTCACTTATTATAAATGATCACGCCTGCTTGTGAATTAGAATTTTCTTCATATCTGTGTAGAAAAGTATTTGGTCCAATCAGCCTGAAAAACAAGTTAATATTCATGACGATATTAAATGCAATTCACCAGACACTTGTTTCCTGTTACATAAATGTGTTGTCATTAATGTTGCTACTAGCATTACATGGGGAAGGAGTGAAATACTAGGATATTAGAAGAGTGATAGAAATGAATTGTCATGTTTATAAATAGAATCTTTCATATAAAGGTATTGAGGATACGGAACTTATACTCTAGGATGTAAAATTAGGACCAGAACCGAGACCTTCCTTATGGAACACACGTATTTACATACAAAGTGGTACGGGACAATGTTTTGACGTCACAAACATGGTATAAAGACTCTGACGTTATTCTCTGATAATATGACCGAATCGCGGATAGATATCATCCTAAATTCCTTTTATCGCTATACACAAAGTAAAATTAGATACAGTGATATACCGTCTAAAAACACACCAAACAATAAAAACAACCTGTTATTAGCAGTGATAAAGTTTAACGTTCACTTAAATATTGGTAACGTTACCTGTACAACAAAGGTTCCTCCTTGCCTTCAATGTGAACCGGTAGCTCCAAACCTTTAATTACAATGTGACTTGATTATGCCTGTACACTACCAGGTATTCTATAACTATATCTGTTCAATGTTGAATAGAGGGACGGTCTGGTTGAGGGAGTTTCTGACTGATTATCACTGACGGGTGATCAGCTCATTGTAGGGTCAATGGTTAACCCATGGCACACACCAGAATTTAACGATATTACGTTACATCACATTAGATTTTCCAAAATAAGAATAATGTAGTTTATAACAACTTTCATAGCATTCCATAACGTTTCACAAGGTTTCCATTTTTATATATTTTAACATTTTAAAAATGGTACTGTTGAACAAGACGATATGCTCAATTAGAGAGGTTTTTAATAGGTACTAATCAAGAACCAGCATAAAATGTATACGAATTCCACAACCAGTCATTACTGGAAAGTTACCAGTGGGTATGACGTAGTTTTGCACGTGTATTTGGTATGTTTGATAAGTTTATTGTGAAAGATCACCAGTACGTTTACAAAGCTATTAAAGGCTAACAACAGTGATCAGCATTTAAACATGACACATAGACTAATCTCAGAGGTACCACACAATACATCTGATAAACGGTACGACTTGTGTAAACCTGTTACTAGTAGGCGGTGTTGATTGCAAGGATAAATGTCAGTCAGTAAGGCTTAATAGCAAAACAAAAACATTATATGTACTTTATTTGAGTAACCTTGAATGGCCGATGTGACAGAGTATAACGTTACACGAGCGGCGAAGATAGGTAGAGGTTCATTTATCCGCCTGCATTGAACTCTTAAGTCTTAAAAATGGCTTAAATATCGAGTGGGGAGCACCTGGTGTTAAAATATATACCGTGTGAAACCTTTATATGACCATGATGAAAACAGATAGAAAAGCAGTTAAATGTATACTTAAGGGCGATATAAAGTGTTCCTTGTTTACGACATTAAAAGATATAATTAGTTGTTACATGTTAAACATGCCTGTGCGTTTAATTATTTACACAGTACAGAGATCAAAGTTTGTAGCACTATGATAAAATCTTTGGAAGAAACGTGATAACTCAATTCTAATTTAAACTGGTAATATTTAATGCCCTAGTAAAGAAAATATATGTAAAATGTTGTAAAAATGATAACGCGTTGCCATAAGTAAAGTGATAAACGTTGGTATTATTACTATGTTCTCGTCGGTCAGTTAAGCATGTGCATTTAATCATTGTAGACACTGAAATATAACAACTGACCAACGGGATAGGATGATACTAGATATCAACTAAGTAAAGAAGTTATTCCCCTTTGTCTATCCAAATGTTTCTAACATTTTTTCATGTTGGTAAGTATGGATTATGAAAAGTTCTTTCTACACAAACACAATTTTCTATGTGACTTTTCGATGACTAGTACAATATGTACACTGTCACCTTCATCAGACA